GCAGTTGACACATTTGGACTTGTTGAAACAAAGTTTTCATTATGTCTATATATAACTAGGTTATTCAAATTATTATACAATATAATTAATATATAGACCCAAATTAAACTGGTATTGGAACTTCGTTGAAAACAAACGGCAACGCGATGTCATCGTCGCGTTGAGGAGTCGTCCAATTGCGTCAGCTGCCGACGAAGACGGTAGTGCGCCGCGTTACGATACGGTATGTTGCGGTTTGCGGTTATGATGTAACATATATGTTATGCAGTTTATTCGAAGCCACGTGATATAACACACTTAATAAACTGTGACATTGTAATATTAAGGGGAACAGTAGGCATATTACTAGAGTATACGCACGTGAAATGTAATATATTCTAGTAGGGTCCAGCTAACAATTTTACTTTATAATAACGTTTTAATAACTTTCCAGGTAGGTTTTCGAAAAATATTTTTATTTATAGAATCATAAAACCATTGAAATACATTGACAGCGTAATTACCCTACGTTTACCATCTGCATGATATTAAATGAAAATCGATTTTTATTTATTTATTTATTACCCTGGGTAACCTGATCAGAGAAAATGCATTATTATCTTCCAGGGCCCTGCAACAAATACAATAAAATACTGTACAATCAAATTACGAAAACTGATAGAAAATGCATCGTTTTTTCTTCAACATGCACCTCTTACTTCCTCAAATAACGTTATTACATATAAACAAATACGTGATTAAATGAAAATAACACAATGTGTTAGGCCTACCACTTTTATAAGAAACATTAAAAAAAACTAAATATCCCAGTCAAAATGTAAATGTTCTGATAAATCGCTTGTCACGCAAAAACCGCAAGATAAATGATGTAGATAGAAGGTTATTAGTAAATTGACTGTTAATTTTGTTCCGTGATGCATTATCTGTGACCAAAAAATATATGAAGTAAATCATCGATACATTCACCATTGCAACATCTTTGTTTATAAATTGAGTATGGTAAAATAATTGAAGGCAATCAAAAAGCTGCTAATACACCGAAGAGAGCGCGCGCTGCTCCTAAAATAACACGGTTGTCAGTAGCAGCGCTAACGACGTTAAATATTTGTTTTTCGTTGTAATCATATCTTGTATAGATAATTCAAATAGCCTATTAGCAACACATCGGTTCATCTCAGTGCCTTTTCATTGCAAAGTGTTACAGTCATGGACCAGTCCACTGAAGGCAGTTAAAGGGATAGTCAACAGAGTACGTCAATCAGGATGTTATTCATTTAACATAATTATACTCATGGGGTTTTTTTTTCAAAGCATGACGTGATAAATGTAGCTTAGAAATATATTCGCTCCATGTTTAAGAAATTTTTGGACACATCAGTGATCACCAAAAAACAGGTTCGAGTCTCGACAGAGATACCTTTCTTCATGCAACTTTTCGTTAAAGAGCTATGCTTGATACGATTATGACTTACCGGTAATGCTCCTATTCGAGCACTGTTATTATTATTTATTGATTTATCGATTGACCGGCCGATAAATTGATTGACGAAACGACGAACTCTAACAGGATGACCCCGATCAAACAATTAATCGATCCACCGATTGGCAGTTCGGGTCTGCCAAGCGACCGATCGACGAACATATAATCGACCGACTCTGACAAACGGCGATTGACTCCGACCAACCGATTCGTCGATTGACTGATCAATTAAACCGACCGATAGGCTGCTTAATAATCCTAAGCAATTGAACTCGGAGGATACACCGCACTAAACTTATGACACATAATTCTAGGGGGAAAAAATATAGGCCTAAATATACTGTGTGTGTGTGTATATATGTATATGTATATATTTAAAAGTGTCTTGTCAACCATAGATAAATATCTCACTTTGTCATATTTGTCATCTAATTAATAAGTCCATTGTTAACTATACGCACAGATAAAACAATATAAACTCGGGGAAAAGCAAAAGCGATAATATCCATCACAATGCCTCTTCAATTCTGTATCTACTCTCCTCAATGACTGACAGAAATCTACTTAAATCATCTTGCTATGTACCTCTGTGTCGTTGTCATCCTGTTAACATGCCATCCGTTCTCAATTTCTGCTCGCGATATTTCACTGGGGCCTCGACGCTCTCGCGCCCCCTAGAGACACTTGGCCTAATCTGCTGGCATGAACAGCCATCCTCACCCCTATAAAAATGTGCAGCTCAGGATTAATGTTGTTATTCTGGTGCTCTTTTGAGACACCAGCTTGCGTACGATGAAGTAACTTGCTGCTTTTCGCCATAATCACAATTTCGAATGACTACAATCAAACCATTTTTAACGTTTTTAAGGCGTACATAAAACAAAGTGATCGTAAATTTAGGATATGTAAAATGTAAGTTGTGAAGTACTAAACATACGGTATTAATCCTATATTTCTCTACATGGCGGGTATTTATCGAGCGTATCTCTAGTCAAACATACTCAGGATCATTGATTTCAACACCACTGAACCTAGGCTTGAAGAAAATATAAAAAAGAACCAGAAAAAAAATAGTTTCCTTGACGTGTGATTATTTTGGGCCGTTGTCTCCTTATTATCTTAAACTACATAGGCATTTAAATATAAAATAGATAAAATCTTAAAATCCCTTCGAAAATTAAACTAAATATTTCATATTAAAGCATCAACAAAGTTATAAACTTCTAATCATACGCATATTAAAGTAATTTAGTTGTTCTGATTGGCTGACAATATTAATAAAGGATATAAATTTATACCGCACAAAATATGAGGGTTTCTATTATCAGCCAAACCAATGCATATAATATAAATGGTATTAGGAATAGTCATATTCGTTTGTATGTTTAAATAAGCTAGATAAACCTAATCAATCTGAATTTTACCATACTTTATTACCCAATTTTATTAAATTTAATTCTATATTATCATGAATCGTTGAGCTCAACATAACTTTAAAATATGTTATGTTCAATTACATGAATTGTATATAATGATATCGAATAATTAATAAAGTGATTACTAAAGATGATTCACCGTAAATTAATTATCAACAGCTAACAGCAAGGTGTTAATTAAAACCGCATTAATTAATTAATTAACACTTTAGGAATCATGATGTACTATTCATCAGTTTTAATCTGCAAGGTCGGCATACTTAAGGCTTATATTTCATATTTTCAATATTATAAATATATGATATATCCGGTACTCTATTTTAATAACCATCGGATCTTGAACAACATGAATTATATTCATGTATACGATGTGGGTGTAATTTATACAGCAAAATGTTAGCCAAAATAATAATAATTAAAAAAAAACATACGCACGTGCGAATTTTGATTTTTGGTCGAATTTTCTGGCTAAAGTAGAGATGACTTATATGTGGTAATCATTTATTATATAGAGACTATTTTTGGATAATTATGAAATACTGGTAATTTCGTTATAGTTTGTATAGGCCTGTAGTTGAACCTGGTTTCCATAAAATCGTTACACTGCAGTCGCTACAGTGTTATCAGTGCAATCGTTGTAGCTGACGTAATCGGGGGGAAGAATCTCCGATTCGACCGACCAATCAGCATCACTGAAAGCTGTCGGCGACAACGTGTAGCGATTGTATGGAAACCTAGCTTTTTTGTTACATCCATTGGCATTTGTATCATCCGTCTGTATGGTATGGTAATCCATAACTATGACTCTATTATTATTATCACGACGAATTAGTTTTTGCACTACTCTTTTAATTCAATTTTTATTGCTATTCTTTATTTATGTTATTGTTGCTCGCAATGTTGAGACATTTACCTTTGCTGGTTTGAGTAAAGAATAATTATTAATCCATATTGTGACATTTTGTTGATTTTCTTTATTTGTTCTTTATTTCTTATTGTTATATGCTGTACTATTTCTTACTTCTATGTCATTGACCTACTGTATTATGATGCTTATAATGCTATTGCATCCATCAGTTTAGGCCTCTCCATACACACATAAACAAACGCATTCAATTTTCAAGACCAGTGACTTTTCGAACATATATTCAATTCATGAATTTTGTTGATTTAATTAGCAACTGCATTAAGTAAAACCATACAGCTATTAATATCGCCACGGTTAAACAATGAAGACAAATGTATCAGTAGGCATATAGTACCTTTACGCAGCGCTGGATCAAGCTGAAATTAAAGCAATTATCACTGACACCAAAACCTCGTTTTGGTTTTAGTATGAGTCTCACGCTTCGTCCCGATTCAACGCCTTTTCTGGATAAATTAACGCTTTCTGATATTCCGCAATAATGTGAGCAAGGGAGCGTAGCCGTGAGCTCTGTCGAAGCAAGTACGTTGAAGGCTTAGCTTGTTTTAGTTAATAAGCAGGGATTAAACTCAATTCCTTTGTTCTATTTCCGGTAAAAATTATGGACGTACGGACGTCTTTGAATGATAGGCCTTGATCTTCTTTTGGAAACAGTGAGCAAGAAAGTATTGGTTTAGGTTGATACGAAAACTGCTATATGATGACCCAGTTGTTAATAAATAATGGTGTCCGAATCGTTAGTAAAGTAATTCTAAAACTAGTAGATCTAGCAACATAGGCCTAAAAATATGAAAAATTAACAATTAAAAACAATGAAAAGTTACATTAATCTCAAAAACACTCAAAATTAATGTGATAGTAACCACTTGTGTGATTATTTTGTCGACGGTTATAAATCAAACAATCGGTTATTTTCGGAAAGTCTCGTGGGCTTTCTTTATAATCGAAGTTGATGTATTATGGCAACTGCTTAAATGCGAGATTGAGATTTAATCTTCATCTTGATTAGGTGCGACGTACAATTGTATTGCTTTCGGTTGGACGCCACGTCCATCGCCAGGGGGAGCGCAGTTTTACAGGTTCTTCTTAATATCTTGCCTTGTTATCCAATAACAACAAGTTACTGAAATATTTCTTGTGTTTTTTTTTTCTTATTCAGGGCCCAGAACAAGGCGTTTGACTCGTGACAAACGGGAAGAGAAGAGGCCTAGGACGGCGTTTACTGCAGAGCAATTACAGCGACTGAAGGAAGAGTTTCGCATTAATCATTATTTGACTGAACAGCGCCGCCGCAGTTTGGCAGACGATCTCAACTTGAATGAGTCACAGATTAAGATCTGGTTCCAAAATAAGCGCGCAAAGATCAAGAAATCGAATGGTATTAGAAATGATTTAGCAACAGAACTTATGGCACAGGGACTGTACAATCATTCGACAGTACCTTTAAAAGATGATTCCAGCTAAGAACATTTTGTGCACATATAATTATACAAAGATACATGCATAATAAATTATATATATATATATATATATATAAGATGTGTATAAATATTTATATGTATGTATATATGTATAAATGCATATATATATACATATATATATACGATATATATATATATATATATATATATATATATATATTGTATATCTATTATAAATGTGGGATTTATGCAGTACATACCTACTGTTGAATGCATATATAATATATCAAATTATATAATTATATATGCAATTGTATCATTATAATAATTTATGTTTTATACGTGTGTGACATCACTGAATTAATTTCATCATGGTGTGCGCATGATCACGTGATGTCTAAGCTATTCCCATCCCTAAATATAAATAAATCCGTGTTGAACCTCATGGCAGTTAGTAGTGGTATCGAAATTACTGAGTTTTTGACATCAGCGTTGGTACAATTCAAGTGCTAAGCTCAAATATTTGTATTGAATTCATCGCTTCATGTCTTTAACCGAACGGTATAAAATGTTGTTCTCGTCAGGAAACTTCGCCTGGAAGAACAACGAGGACCCGTACGGGACAGGGGAAGGGGTAACTGTGACACCATATGCTACCACGCAAACCACTTGATGATTCAAATTGTGGTTGCAGTTATACCAGATCAACCGTGTTTCTTTATCCAATATCCGTGATGGACTGCCGTGTATGGTACCGTATATTTTCATGCTGCGTCATCCACTATCTGGGATCGAGCAGACCCGTTTTCTTACTTAACCTATTATTAACTTTAAATGGCACTATGTTGCATTCAGTATGAAATTGACACATAAGTTCATTATGCAAAATGTGATAACTAAATGAGAAAGAAACCACGACAATATTGACGGCTTTCCTTTCCCATAATGCGGCATAATATATGACGTGTTCAAACGAAGATAGTCAAAATATAGTACATGTACGAACCATGCATAAAGCGACCGTCTCACGATCTATGTGCACGACGCGCACTTACAAAAGATTATAAGCGAGCGCGTAAAGACCTATACTACGCAACACAAGCCAGTAACCAATTTCAACACTAACAATTCATTTTAAACATGCTCCCGCGTATGAGGTACGCTCGCGCCAGTTTATACTATAAGAAAGGTCGTGAGGCAGACGATTCAATAAGTGTAGTTAGTGTCTTGTACTGTAACACCATAAATCCTATCTGTATATTGTACGATTTTAATTGTAAAGATCGATTCAACATAATATAATTCTTATTAATTTTGCTGGGTGAGGAGATGGATTTTGAATCAAGCTGTATGCATGTATCGAATCTAATCATACGTTCTTCTTGCAATATTGATGTTTATATTAACAAGAGATGTTCGAATGTTCGAAAAAAAATTCAGCAGCATACAAATCACGGTTATGCTTGCTTGAGTACTATCATACCAATTGCGGCCCTGTTAACTATTTAGGCCTATAACTAAAATGAGAAAAACAAAACATTAATTTAAGTTAATTGTGATTTTTTTTTATTACTATTTTTATTATTATTATTATTATTATTATTATTATTATTATTATTATTATTATTATTATTATTTATACGTTTTGGGAAAGTTATCACGTTAAATAAAATATATGGAATCTCCCATGTAGTGCATCCGCACAGGCTAAGAAATCCTTTAGGAATCATTTCTTTCTACAAATCAAGGTAAAAAATTTCATTTAAAGTTAGCAATTTAATTTTAACATCTACCGTAGTTTTTTTAGGTTTCATCGGAAGTTGAGGATCGAAACGTCTGAAATATAATGTGCTATAGATTTAATCGACACCACAGAATCCTGGTTTCCATAAAATCGCTACTATCTCGCTACAGTTTTTTTTTTTTAAACACTGCGTAGCTATTCCCGACGCAGTCGGGAAGACTCTGCCAATCGATCGACCAGTCAGAGTCGCCGACAGCTAGCGGCGATAGCGTAAAGAGATTTTATGAAAACCAATCTATACTGACTGAATAATTTTAGTGTTTTTGAAATAATTATTATCCCCAAATTGAGTCACATATGTAAATAATTCTAATTGAAGGACACAGAAGAATTGGTACACATATTTCAATTGTTGTTTTTATAAGACAATATAGTCCTGTGAGTGTCTACCATACTGTATATATGATTATGGTTATTGTAAATATTTATGTAGCAATTTTATTGCCAGTATCTCACGCACGCCTACCTCAAACACGCGGCTGCGTTTGAAAGTTTTGTTGACACTGTTATAAGATAAGGCCTGGACCTATTCTGAAAATAAAATTGTCATTCGTAACGTCGTTACAGAGTTACGTCACAAATTGAAAATAAATACAGTAAGCAAAAATATTAATGTGATTATGTGTTTAATTTTGTCACGTGAAAGGATTTGCATGATGACGTAATGCACAGCAAGCGCCACAAGGTATTCTATGAAATAAACTACTTTTTACAGCAAATTCCTGCAGTTCTAAGATACGAGTTTGTATGATGGAGGTTTCTGTTACGTCCCGCCCCTTGGATATTTTTACTGTTTTACTAACGCACGTGTTTTACTAAGCGTAAACCGCGTGCGTTTGTAGGAAAACACGTGTTTCTGTAAGAAAGCGTGTATTCTTTTCCCTGTTCTTATAGTTCATTTGTTTAATTGACACTCCTAAAAGGTCAATTTTTTGCTTACTTGGCATCTAATGCCTAATTGATAATGATAACATGATGTAAATATATGCCACCTAAAATCTGAATCGTGGATTTAATTGTGTGAAGGAAATACTTAAAGATACAAAATTGATTTAAGCAGGCATCACTGTGTTTAATATGACGAGATTACCGAGAGCTGGAGGCAAAATGTGAATCACTTTGGACGACTGGCCTAGGTCTGTCTCTGGTGTGACCCAGAAATGTATGTCCTTGGCCGACTCATCTCACCTGTGTAAGGTGTAAGATAGGCTTAAATTGCCAGGAGCTTTGTGGTGATTCACCTGAACAAACTCTTCTTGTAACGAGTTTCCTTTGCCCGCAGTTAAATAATCCTGCCTGGATTAAAGTCAACGCTTTATCAACTTGTCTCATCTCGAGTTTAGCGAATGAAGAACTTCAATGTAATGTAAGGGGTGTGGTTCCCATACTTAGATGATTTCCCCTAGAATTACTCAAGGTGCAATAAACATTGCCATTGCTGGATTTTGCTTATTAATTCCAAATCGCCAAAGAAAATTCTTGAAAACAGGAATCAGTATTATAGGTATGGATTATAATTACGAGAGTCTTTAAGTTGTATAACACGATAGAAGTAGATATTTATGATGATTCTGCTTTAGCCAAATAAAATACACTGGGCTTAACTAGTCTTTTAGTATTTCCCAATTATATGTCTGTCTGCTTTAGCTGTCATCGACCTGTCAATCACCGCAACCGTTCATTGGACGTCTGACGTCATCGCTATTCACTCGCCACTCGTATAGTATGCTTGCGGACTTTGGACTAACGCCTCTCTCAGTCGTCATTACAGATTACAAGGGGGCAACAAGCACTTTCTATCCTACATATTATTATAAATGCGTTAATAATTCCATTTTTGTTTCCAAATTATTGTTTTAATTATTATAATTATTTATATTTATTGTTTAGTTATTATTATTATTATTATTATTATTATTATTATTATTATTATTATTATTATTATTATTATTATTATTATTATTATTTAAACAAGGAAGATACTATTATGTGTTGGCGACGAATCAGTCAAGGGTGTACATTGGAGGCTCATTGAGATCCCATACGTAAATATCTATAAAAAGTTTTCAATGTGTGTAAATGTAACTTTCTATAATAGTTTGTAAAGATCCAGTAAAGAAATTACTGATTTTTTGTGATGATCCGGCGTAGGGTGTGAATATGAGGACCATTTAAAAAAAAAAAACGTCCCAGACTAGATTTCAAAAACGGGTCAACTGATCCGAATTAAACTTTTGGGAAAGTTTAACCCAAGTTACAAGGAAGATATTATTATGTGTAGAGGATGATCTAGGTTAGGGTGTAAATTTGAGGATCCCAGGAATATAGATGGATAAAAATGACACTTTGCAGAATAGTTTTTCATGGTGAAATGAAGAAATTATCCAATTTTGGTGACGATCCGCAGTAGGGTGTGGAAACTACCGTGGTATGCATGAACAATTTTTGCTTTCAGTCATTGAATCACTATGAACTGAAAAATGCACTTTCCTATGTAAGGTCGGCCCATATAGCGCATAATAGTTATGGGTCACGATGTACCTCGCTATTACCATTACAGCCATAGTTCAAGTCATCATTAATAACGTCGCAGTGAACCTGGTTTTCGTTGTTTTTTTTTTTTTTTGTTTTTTTTTCTTTTTTTCCCACTTAATTTTTTTCCACTTCATTAAAATTATATTAGTTTTCCGTGTTTTTTTTTAAACGTTATACCTTTTAACGACTCTTGTTTTTGTTGCAATTTCAACTTCATTTCTCATTAAAGCAATGGGGAAAAGCCCTATGTTCTGTTGAACATAGTAAGTCTAGTTATAATAATTATTATTATTATAATTATTATTATTATTATTATTATTATTATTATTTTTGTT